TCGAAGAATGGAATTATCGAGGTAGGACAAATTTGGGGTACGACACCGACTGTTAATACTGGTTTTGTGTTTGTGTTTGCAAATGTTACGGTAAGCAAGAGTCGTCACCGGTTTTTCTTTTATCCAAATTAAGGAAAGGGTGAAAAGAATAGAAAAAGACCTTTTCGAGAATTTTCTGAGTAAGGGGTGTAGATTATGGAAAGGGAAGGTGTTAGCACCCTTTCTATCCGTAGTTTTCTACGGGCTCTTAGATGCTAGCTCATTTTTAAAAGTACATTGTGCTTTGTGTGTTTTTGAAAAGAGGTTTTAAAATTCCTTAGTGCGGCGATTTGCTTCATGATAACTCTTGTATCAGTCCTCAAGAGTGTTGATAAAGAAAATGTTTTTGAAAGTTATATTTGAAATGTGTAAGTGTAAAAAGCTTGTTTTGAGCACATCATCTAAGAACTATCTACTTATACTCGAAAAAGTTCATTCTTTTCCTCTTATCCTTTAGACAGTGCCGTCCTACTATTAGTGAGTAGGTAGCCTTATCGTTGGATGTTTTGAGAAATAATCGAAGGGAAGTTAGGGTCACGAAGGCAACTTGGCAAGAAATTTTAGTAACTACCCTAAAGTTCTAAGATCACTTTTAACCGAGGCAACTTTGAGAGGATCGTCGAGAGACTTGTGATCTTTCAAACTATAGGAGAGTCACTAAAACTTCTCACGTTTTGAGAATTGTGACCGTTTTCTGAAGGCAACCGAAAGTGGGATACCCTAGAGGTGCGTATGTGCAATTGTGTTCAATTCAGTTATTTATCTTGCGTTATTAGGTTTGCTAATGTTTTTGTTTTTCAGTTTTATCATGCAATCCTAGTTACTAGTAGTTAATATGTACAGAAAAATGTAAAGTGCAAAAATAAATCCTACGCTATTACATGGTTTCGGGGAGGGGATTTACAATATACAAAAATTGGGGGAAGAAAAATAAAGAAAGCGGATAAAAGTCCTAATTAGTTATTACATACCAGTATGCAGTTACAATAATGTAAAAATGCGAAAAATAAATAACGCGCGAAAGATTGAAAGTTCGTCTAAAAAAAACCTAATAAGAAAAATAGTCAATTATCCTAAAGTCTATATAATAAAGTTAAATTAAGAAAAATAATCTAATTTCTTTTTAGTTTTTTATTATGAAGAAGAAAATAATTAATCATAAATTCTAATTTATTTTAGATTATGAAAGGGTTAAGGTTTAATTAATTAATTAATTAATTAAAGAGATTAATTATTTAATTAAGAAATCTAAACTTAATTTTTTAGTGAGCTTTTTTTATATTTTGGTTAATTAAACAAAAGAAAACAATAATAAAAACAAATATAAGAAATAATACAAAAAGAAAAATGTCAAATGGGCTTGATGCTGAAAAGAAAAGGGGGGGGGGGGGGGGGGGGGGAGGGGGGGGGGGGTGCTGCTTAGAAATTTCATTGGGCCCAATATTGAAGAGAGTCCATGTTTGTCCTTAGATCCAATGAGGACTGATTTTGATGGTCTATGCTTGATATGCAAGCTCAAACCCTTGGATCTAGATCACTCATGATCTAGTTGTTGCAAATTGAAGGCGTATAGTATGCTCCTGGCCATTGAAGCATGGGATATGCATGAGTATATTAGGAAAAATACAAAATGCTAGACTTGGGACTTGAACCTAGGTCCTCTCCCTCACATACGCGTTGTCTTGCCAATTGAGCTTCCATTTCTTTCGTTTATATATATATATATATATATATATATATATATATATATATATATATATATATATATATATATATATATATATATATATATATATATATATATATATATAAACGAGAGAGTGAGACAAGTTTGCACTGGAGTCAGCCCACCGGAGTCAACTCTCCAGTCATCTTCTTCGGTGGGCTGGAAAATTAACCTGCCAAAATAATGAGATTCAAAGATCCAAATTGATCATACCCCCCTTAATTTTTCCTCCTAATTTCAAAAATGAGGTCCTTTTGACCTGAAAACCCCTGGTTATTGAGATACGATGAAGAAACTCAGATCGTGCCCTAAAATGGCACGATCCTATTTTGGCCCTTATTCTTGCATGTTCTACGTTGAATCTGTCCTATAGATCAACCTGATCATGAAGCAAGCATGAAAAAGTATTAATACATCATGAAATTACAAATATAAATTCCAGAAAATTACCAATAATAAGGGTTTCAGTTCATGGATTCTGGGAGTGAAATTGCTTGAATAATGGTTGGTTTGAGTTCCTGGAAGTCTTAGGAAGGTGTTTGAACCCTTGGTTTGGACATATGATGGCTAGAATTGGAGATGCGAATTTTGCAACTTTGACAATTTTTTTGCAAAATTTGTAGAACTCTCTCTAGGTTGTGTAGGCCTCCCCTATTCTTGCAAGATGCTTGGTATTTATAGAGTATAAAGAATGGACAAGGTATGAGGAAAAGAAGCATGCTCCATTATATTCTTTAAGAGCCATGAATGAAAATTTGTAACTTTGCCAAAAGCATGCAAACTTGAATCTTTTTTGAATTTGAATGAATTTGGACATGTTAGCCTTGTTGTACACGAAATATAGGGCCCTTCCATGCATCAAACCAAGCCCAAACACTAATGGCTCATATTATTTGCATTAAATTTGATTTATTTGATTTTAAATTAAATAAAATTAATATAAAATGCAAATAAGATCAAGACTATGCAAGAAATGGTCTTAGGGGTCCTTAGACATGTCATGGACATGTTTAGGCCCTAAAAATTAGGCTTATTAGCTTGAAAAATGATTTTTCCCAAAGTTGACTCCATGCATTTTCTTGAAAATTACCCAACTTGTGTAAGCCATAACATGCTAAATTTTTATCTCATGATGATGATGATCTTGGACTTTTTGGAAAGCCCAAGATGACTACTTCAATACCTCATTTTATGAATTTTTCATTTTAAGATTTTATCTTGATTTGAAAGGTCTTAGAAAAAAGTGACTTTTGTTGACTTTTTGAAAAATGACCTGTAATGTATGAGCTTGTATCTTTCAAATGGTGCATTTATTGGACTTGAGGGATGAAGAGAAGTTGTAGGGAATGAGATTCTATTAAATATGAGCTTTGGTTGGGGAATAATGGATGAAGTATGTGGAAGTTATACCTGGTCAAAGTTTAGTTGACTTTTCCTATAAAAACTCTAATTTAGCAAATTTAAACTTTTGATAGATTAGGAGCATTTCTTGAGGAATCATGATCAACCCTTGATAAAATGATGGACATCACTTCAAAATGTTGATCTTTACCAGAAATCTTGATATTTGACTGTATATGGGCCGTAGTTGACTTTTGACCTAGTACAGTTGATTTCCAAGCATTTGAGCAATTGATTGAGCAAACTTGTAGTGCAAGGCATGAAACTTGTCATGGACAATCTTGAAGGCATAATAGGACCATGGAAAACATTTGGGACCTTTGGAGCTCACACATCTTGATGAAAAGTGAAACCCTATCTAGAGGTCCATTGCTTAGGAGGAGAATTTGTCTGGTCAATTTTTGGTCAACCTTGAGCCATTGAGGATCTCTAGGATAATGCTTTGAGTAAAAATGAGAGGACAAATTTTGGGGTACAACACTCTGGTCTATGTAATACGGGGAACCTTTGGATTCATGTTATGTTTATGATATTCATGTTTATTTAAGAGATGTTGTTATACTCTCTAGATATTTATGTTTGATTGAGATGTATGTGATGATAGCCTTTAGTGCCTAGTATTTTATGATATGATTGTCAATATGGGATTTCAATCATTAGTATTATTATTTTGAGTTAAGAATTACTCAGTTGCGAGATGCTTATGTGTTATGGTATGGAACATGATTCTAAATGTGTTTTATGAATATGACCAGTGTATTTGAATTGTTATCGTGAAGTAAATGTGACGCCCTCTTGTGATGTGCATGTTAATTTACTCTGATTATGCTATATATTTGTGTGTGGTAGAATGAGGGTGTTACATATCTCCTCAAGGGAGATGGCATCATCGCTACCATGGATATCCTCCGACGTAGGGGTGGATCTCTCCTGTTAACTATGGTAGAGGATGGCTAGGTATAGGAGTGAAGGGTAGTAGAGAGTATGATGATTGTAACAAAGAAAGTGTGGCGCTTGTTAGTTTTGTCGGGGTCCCGTAGTGGTCTCCATTGTAATGATAAAATAGTACATGTTTGTGTGGTATCTCTACAATGGTAGAGGATACTCAGAGACCTTAATAGGTTTATAATAGTTTAGGGTGGTAAGGGCTTATCCATGGCGGCGAGAGACCCTGTATGGTGGTGTTATAACGTTTACTATAGTTTTAGAGGGATAGCTCACGTAAAGTGAGTGTTGTGCTTAGGGTATGAAAGATATGTCTTATTCTCCTATTGACAGGGAGGTACTTATAGAGGCCCTTGAGTCTAAGACTTAGGAAACCTTAAGAGATAGTAACTGCTCTCCCTTAACTAGGGAAAGTTGTTAACTACCTATTCTTCTGGGAGTATGGAGTGACTCGGTCTGCATAACTGATGAAGGGATAGTGGGGTTGTGCACCTGTATTATTAGGAGGGTGAGTCCCCTTACTATGCAAAGTAGTGCTCATACGACATCTCATGGGGAGGAAACACTTAGGTCGTCCTTATTTAAAGACTTTCACAAGTATATCACTACAAAAACATAATATCGACTTAACTAATTAGCCTATTTACACATAGTTAAACTTATTTATTTAAATATATGAATATGAAATAAAGATTTAAGTTAAATATATATCACACATAAATCATCTAATATTTACAATAATTTTCATTTATTGAATAATGATACACCACCAAAGCAGGGTTTTCATTAATTTTTACAATAATTTTCATTTATTGAATAATGATACACCACCAAAGCAGGATTTTCATTAATCATATATATTTCATAAATTTGCAACTCATCATGATCATTAACGTGTAGTAGGGAGATGTTCTCCCGTTAGAAAAGAATGAATAAGGGATAGAGCCTCAGTTGGTTTGTTTAGAGGCACTAAATGTCCAGCTCCTCTTATTGTCACGTATGTCAATCCTTCATACTCCACAATCCTTCCTCCAACCTGCATTTCATTCCTATAATTAATCCAGTTCAGTTGTATGAACATTCGATTTAACTGACACAAGTTTGAATTTCGAATCGGCGAGGTTTCACTTATTCATTTTATTAAAAATAATAACCTGATCATTATGGTACCAAGGTTTCCAAGTAGACTTTAGAGGTAATTCAAGAGCTTCAATACAATAACGTGTTCCCATCACAGGTATTCTACCATCTGCATCACCACTATTAATTAAAAAAACATGAATTTGTGACTCTTTCACCGATGCCTATTAAATTCAAATCCATGGAACCATAAGGTCATAACTAATAGATACCTGTAAATCCATATCTTAAGGTCACCACCCTTAATGAGTTTTGTGTAGATTGGTAGGACAGAAAAAACAGAGAAGTTGTATGTCCTTAATATGGAAGCACTGAGAAATGAAACACGGATCAAAATTAATATTCAATTCATTTTTTTTTAAATTATTACTAATATTGATGTGTCAGACGTGTTAGTGTTAGTGTCAGTATCGTCTCTGGTGTTTGTTTCATAAATAATAATGCTTACTTGCAAACCTTCCATGATGTGTTACTGTTGTTTTCTGTTTTAGTATTTGTATGTAAAGATGATTGAACATCTACCCTATTGAAATATTCTTCTGCATATGAGGAATAACAAGGATCATAGCCTCCAAAAATTCTCATTTTCTTGAACCTATAATCATGACTTGTCACTGAGGATGTGGTATTTAATCGACATGCTGGTGCGTAAACGTTGTATATGTCAATTTCTGAGTAATCATTATAGAGTTCATTCATGGCCTGATTGCATTCATTAGACCAAATAGATTGTTTGAAATCACAAACTTGTTTTGCTTTCTCATATTGCTCATCTGATATAACTGCATGACTCCATGCAAATTGTAGAAGGCCTTTTGAGTCATAGTAATTTTCAGTTTCTGGATTCCCTACCCGAAGTTTTGGGGACCTTGTAAAAGTTAGTCGCAGTTTAATTACGAAAAAGCAAATAAAATCCTTATTTAATCACAACTTAACCATAACAAACATTTTATGTGGATATATCTATCTAATGTTTTATCGTAATAAATTGAGTCTTATACCGTAGTCTAATCTGTCCTGCACGTTCTCAAAGACGAATCTGAAATTTATAATGTCCATAATTTTCCCTTCTTTTTTGGGTAAGGAGAATTTACTTACAATAAAACCTTTAAGATTAATAAAGGAGTATCTGTTTCTATCTTTGTTTCTGTCAAAGATTAACTCTGCAAGCTGAGGAATATAGTGGCCTGAAACACGTAGGCACAAGCCATATCAGACACCAGACACGTCCTTGATCTAAATTGTTTGATTTAAGTGTGATTGAAAAAGACATACTTATAATAAAAATGAAGTAAAAACCGACCTGCGTAGCTTTCTCCGGCGATGAAAAAGTCCCTGGAGTTATATTGTGGAAATTTTTGTAGCCAATTCACCAAGAAATTGTAGGTATCTTCAGCTGATTCAAGTAAATTGTAATTAAATATAGTGACTTTAACAAAACTAGATTAGAATTATATTATGCAAAGAAAACTCACCAACAAAATGATCCTCTAAAATGGTGAGATCAGAAGTAGTGTTTGTGTAAGAAAATCCAACCCCAACTGGAGATTCCACAAATAACAAATTTGCTTCTGCATAATGGTGAAATGAGATCTTTAATCTTTTTTTTTCTTTTTGAAGTATTTATTAGTACAACAATAATAATTGGATAAAAACTTATTATAAAAAACATACATGTTATATAATATATATAATAAATATTATAAAGAAATAGAAGACAAACGGACACCTCTTAGACAGAAAGAAAATATAAACCTTGATTCCAAGAGTATGGGTTGAATAATAGTCTTTCGCCATTTTTGTCGACTAAAAGAGGTCCTATCTCAACAGCAGCACCATATCCAATCGAGGAGCATCCAGGTCCTAATTCATATAGAAAATTTTTTTTGAAAATAAGCTGAAAACATCTTATGATTATGATCGACTCGCTAAAAATAGTTTGATAAGTATTTATTTAAAAATTAATATGAAATGATGAAAGACCTCCATTGAGCCAAAGAAGAAGAGGCTTATTAGAGGGTTGAGATTGAGCTTCAAAGAACCAATAGAAAAGGGCCCTTCCATGATCTTCATTGACAGTGATGTAACCTGAAAAGTGTGAGATTGATGGTGTTGAAGGTTGTTCTGGTAAATCAGTTATTCTATCAGATTCATAGGTTTCAGCATTTATTTGAGATGCTTTGATGAACAAAGAAGAAGTGATGGTAGTTAGAAGAAATAAGCATGGGAATTTGAGGACAAAGAGAAAAAAATTCATATTTGTAGCTAATATGAAATAAATTGCTTTCTTTAATTTAATTTGACTCAAAAGTATGCAAATACATTGAATGCTTTTATAGTGCTAATATATGAGTGCTTAGTAGCATTTGAATTGTCGTGTCACAAAATGACAAGAGAGGATCTTTTCCTACCCATTAGGATTTGGTGCTCTCGCCAATCTCACACATTCATGTAAATATATATCTTTGAATATTGAACATTTTTCTTAATATTAAAGAATAATTATTATTTAAATATCTAAAAATTAATCTAAATTAATCATCGTTAAATAAAATCTAAATTAACCAGCACTAAATGAAATCAAATTGAATATTTTTATATAAATCAATCAATCCAAATTAAAATATATAATTTTATTAACTAAACATTTGGTATTGAGTAGTAAAGGAGTTCATGTTAAAGATGTAATTTAAGAAATATCGGACTTGATTTATAAATAGAAATAATATTTGGTTAGTGTTTATATATATATATATATATATATATATATATATATATATATATATATATATATATATATATATATATATATATATATATATATATATATATATATATATATATATATATATATATATATATATATATATATATATATATATATATATATATAATTTTCTTTTTTAAATTATAAGATTTTTGTTTTAAAACTTATCAAAATCATACCACAAACACTATTATATAATTTTATTTTTGAATTAAAAAGATTTTTGGTTTAAAATTAATCAAATCATACCACAAACGCCTTTGCTTCTAGATTAGAGTGGGCAAAGTTGCTCACAATCACAAATGATAATGTACACTTTATTGGAGTGGGGTTTACTCAATCACCAGACAAAAAGCATTAGCGTATGAGGCAATACAATATGTTGTACTCTAAAAAATTTCCTATCATTTTATTCAAGACATGTTCATAGAGATCCTCAATTGCTCAAGGTTGACCAAGAATTGGCCAGACAAATTCTCCTCATAAGCAATGGACTTTCAACTAGGGTTTCACTTTCCACCAAGAAGTTTGGGTTTCAAAGGCTTCAAGTGATTTCCATAGTCCCTAATATGTCCTCAAGGGTGTCCATGCCAAGTTTCATGCCTTGCATCACAAGTTTGCTCAGTCAATTGCTCAAATGTTTGAAAATCAATTGTACTAGGTCAAAAGTCAATTGTGACCAATATATAGTTAAACTTCAAGATTTTTGGTCACCATCAACATTTTAAAGTGATATCCATCATTTGATCAAGGGTTGATCATGATTCCTCAAGGAATATTCTCAAATCATCAAGAATCAAAACTTGCCAAATTAGGGTTTCCTAGAGAAAGTCAATTGAATTTTGACCAAGCATAACTTTAACATGCTTCATCCATTTTTCCCCAACCAAAACTTATTATGAAGAAAATTCAATTCCCTACAACTTTTCTTTTGCCCTCAAGTCCAAGAAATGCATCATTTATAAGATATGAGTCAATACATTACAGGTCTTTTTGAAAGTCAACAAAAAGGCATTTTTTATCAAGGCAAGTTACATCAAGATAAATTCTCCAAATGCAAAAATGGTAAACATAGAGATTGTAGGGAACACATTGAGATTTCTAAAAAGTCAAAGATCATCTCTCTATAAGATAAAAATTTAACAAGTTATGGTTTGTATAAGGTGGGAAATTTTGGTCGAATTCATGAAATGCAAAGCATGCAAATTTGAAATTTTAGGTTACTGGCCTAACTTTTTGAGCTTCAAACATATTCATGACCTTATGAAGGACCTCTAAATCCATTCTAACCTTACCATAATTTTTATTTTTATTTATTTTGATTTTTATTCAATTAAATACAAAATAAATAAAATAAAATATCAAGTAAATGATAAAAGGCGCATGGATTGGATTTTTGATCATTATTGAAGCCCAAAGATTGTACAATCAGCTCAAGAAATCGTGTGGAATATTTTTGAATCAAATCTTGGCTTAAAATGGAAATAATGCATGTGATTCCAAATCAAATATTATACTTGATTACATATGATATGGTACCATATTTGTTACCCTAATTTGGTCCCTTATATATGTACAAACTATTCAGATCCAAAACACACGCATAGCCTTCTCAAGAACAAACCCTAAACTCTCCAAAATTTCAAAGAACTAGAGCACGAGGAAACTCCCATCTCCAGTCATCTTTAGTCAATTCCAATCGTCCCACTAGCTCCTTGAAGGTCTCAGGAGTGCATCCAAGTCTTTACCTTAGCCTGAAGCACGCCTAGATCGAGCATACAAGTTGCTCTAGTTTGGTAACATTTTTTATTTTCAAAGCTTTTAATCCATGCCTTGTTGAATGATTCGATGCATACGTACATGTTCACAATCATGTTTAGACTTGTTTTCATCCATTATTTGCAAACTTTAACGCATGGATAGTGAGTTGCCATGGCTAGGGCAAAATGTTCATGTACCATGCGTATCAGTACTTCTAGGCTGTTTTAGGCAAAACGGCCACCACCACTGAGTTCGCAGACCTCAACTTAGGGGGGTAGGTTTATGTTTTGTTTTGAATCATGTTGTTTCACAGGTTTGGAAATTTGGGTCGCCGGAGAACAAGGTGGTCAACCACCATGGGTGGTGGTTTGATCTTCCCGGAGTCAGCATGTCACGATCCAAACGTGTGATTTGTTCATTCAAATAATTAGGGCCCATTGAAGCGCGCATGTTTGACAACTCAGCATTTTATTTTGTCTTACATTATATTATTATTGTTTTAGATTATATTCCTGGATGTAAAGTCGTCCCAACGGTTGAGTGTGTATATGTTAAGGCATTGGGTGTGTGCAAGGGCAAGGGTTCAATCCCTGCCTCTTGAATATTATTTTTCTAATTATTCTGTTCAGATCCAATGTAGCTAGGCTATACATGCGCATCATATGTCATCAAATTTACACCATCAGAGGTCAACGCAACCAGATCCATGCGCCCCCATCGTGAACCTTCAAAGAATCCCGTCACCAGTTCCAATACAGCTCTGGGGCTCCCTCATACATGGGCCTCACGTTTTCCATATTGCACCCCCTAATTCACTTTGAACACCAAACCCATCTTTTTTTTCTCTAATTTTTATTCTTTTTAGTTTATTATTTATTTGTTTTATATTTACTTATTTTGAAAACCATATTTATTTAATCAAAAAATCATAAAAAACATAAAAACTTAGATCTAGGTTTTATTTAATTAAAATTAATTTTCATAAACTAATTTAGTTAATTATTTTTAACTTTATTTCATTAATTAAAACCAATTAGAATTAGGTTAAAATTGCAATATTTCCTAAACAAAAATGCCAAAAATATTAGATTTTTTTAGAATTAATTTTAATTAATAATTTTCTTTTATTATTTTTTTATTTTAATTAATTGAGTTTAGATTTAATTTAATTTATTATTTTCCCAAAGAAACAAAAACAACAAAAATATTCCAAGTGTGTAGAATTTTTAGGGTTTTACGTCCTTTCTAATTTGCGCGCGTTTATTATTTTAGCATTGTTACTTTTATTTTTTATTAATGTATTTGTTTATGGGTTGTAACAAAATAACTGAGATATTTACTATTTTTATCCCCCCAATTTGTGGACTTGTAAATCCCCATCCCCGAGGCCCTGTAATAGCTAGGTTTAATTTCCACATTTTAATTTCTTACACTAATATTTGAACTGTTTAGATGTATGGTAATAGGATTGCATGACGAGAATTAAAAACAAAATGTTAGCAAACCTAACGCCATGATAAATAATTGAAACACAACACACTTGCACATGCACACCTCTAGGATACCCCCACTTCGGTTGCCATCGGAATAAAACAGTCATAACTCTCGAAACGTGAGAGATTTTAGTGGCTACCCTCCAGTTTAAAGATCACAAAAATGACCCTCTTGATGTTGCCTCGGTATGATCTTAAAACCTTAGGGTAGTTACTAAAGTATCTTGCCCAGTTTCCTTTGTGACTGTATGATGCCCCTTCGATTGTCCCTCAAACATCCTACGATAGGGCTACCTACTCACTAATAGTCGGATAGCATTGTCTAAAGGAAAAGAGGAAAAGAACAAACCTTTTCGAGTAGGTTGATAGTTCTTAGATGCTTTCTCAAATAAAACATTTTCCACACATACACTCCTTTCCAAAAATATTTTCAAATACACTTTGTATACGTTCTCAACAATACGAGAAACATTACAAAGTTCACCGCACTAAGGCATCTCTTTAAAATACTTTTTCAAACACACAAACACAAGGTATTTTCAAATGAGCTAGCATCTAAGAGCCCGTAGATAACTACAGATGGAAAGGGTGCTAACACCTTCCCTTTCCATAATCTACCCCCCTTACTCAGAAATAATCTTGAAAGGTCTTTTTCTGTTCTTTTCACCCTTTCCTCTGTTGGATAAAAGAAAAGTCAGTGGCGACTCTTGCTTACCGCAACATTTACAAACACAAAAGCAAAACCAGTATAACAGTCGGTTCTGCCACCGTATTACAGAACTTGCGACTCTGTTGGGGATTTATAAAAAGTGGGGTTACCTTAGAGTTAGATCATTTTAAAATTGATTTCCTTGTGTGTTTTGTATTCTTTATTTTTAAAGGGTTTGCTGGGGTTACTGTTAAAGATCCTATACCCGAATCTAGGGCACTTTTAGGTAAGCAGCAATAGATCGTGGAGACTGTACGGAGTAGACCGATATGGTTAAAGCGATGGTTGCATTAGTGTCACACATGTGTTGGTACCAGTATCTCTTGTGTTAAATCGAGGATAATACGAGGATACTGTGTGGTGTCATAAAGCATTAAATGACCTTAGAACCTTAGTTGAACAAACTTGGCCATTAGAAAAGTAGTGAGATAGCCAACTTCGGTATAAAGTTGAGAATTGGTTGATACTCGATACTACACTCATTGAGATTGGACTTTCTGGATATTTCGGTCGCGAGAAAAGATCGC